GGTATGATCAAGTTGTTCGGGCTTGCGCTTTGGAACATGACATCGCAGTTTTGCCTAATGGAAGTGGTAAGCTTTTCTCGGCCAATATCATTTTATCTCTTTTCAATGTCTTGCTTGTGCTTGTCATAGAGTAGTGCGGTGTCATACTTCTTTTCTACTATTCTCTCAAGATTTGAAAATTCGAATGCACTGACGAAATCATAGCCACTCGTGTAGGAAGTGGAGGTATCTCACTAAGCGGCGGTCAAAAACAAAGACTCGCACTTGCAAGAGCCGTTTACGCCAAAAACGAGTTCATTATTCTTGACGACGTATTTTCTGGGCTTGATTCAGAAACAGAAGAGCAAGTTTTCAAAAGACTTTTCGGGAAACAAGGGCTTTTCCAAGAAATGGGAAGCACGATAATTCTTGTCACTCATGCCATTCACAGATTAGCATATTCAGATTACATTATCGCATTGGATCAATCAAGCCAGATCATCGAACAGGGTACCTTTGATTACTTGAAGACTAGTGGTGGCTATGTGGAGAATTTGGAGACTCGACATAGATCAGAGGACTGTGACTCCGAAGAAATTGATACAAAGGAGACGACTCAGAAGCAAGGTCCATTCACAATTGTCGAAAACGATGATCTCATAAATGAAATAGCAGATTTGAGTCGCCAAACTGGTGATGCTTCTGTGTACCAATATTATTTTGCCTCCATTGGATGGGTACCGACCGGAATCTTTTTCTTTTTTGTCTTGATATTTGGAGCAGCATCGAAATTACCGGAAATCGCTTTAACTTACTGGACTCGAGCTGTCGCTGTTGAAGGTAATAAAGCAAACCCATACTGGCTTGGAATATATGGAATGCTATCTGCTATTGCCCTGATTGGATTCGTAGCGGGCATTTCCCATTTGACGTTATATATGGTGCCGAAAAGTGCAAAAGTCCTTCACCAGAGATTGTTGGATTCTGTAATGGGAGCACCTCTTTCGTTCTTCACCGCCACAGATACTGGGACGACTACGAACAGGTTTGTACTTGGGTTGTATTATCGGAATCTTGCTAACTTCAGACTCAGATTCAGTCAAGATATGTCTATGCTTGATGGAGACCTTCCCTATTCAATGGTTGACCTCTCATTGTCCATTGTACAAGCATCAATGGGAGCTATCCTGATGTCTCTATCTGCGGGGTACTTTGCTGCAACTATTCCGGTCATCGGTCTAACAGTCTGGGGCGAGTCAACACACATCTCCTTATATTAATGATTGCTGACCGAAAAACAGTGCTGCAAAAATTCTATCTCAGGACATCTCGGCAAATGCGTCTGTTAGACCTCGAAGCAAAATCCCCTTTGTACTCCCATTTTATCGAAACCCTTAGTGGTCTTACTACCATCCGAGCTTTCGGTTGGACCGAAAATTTTCGCGAGCAAAATCTTGCATTACTAGACACATCTCAAAAGCCCTACTACCTCCTATTCTGTATTCAACGCTGGCTAGGTCTTGTCCTTGATCTCCTCGTTACAGCCCTTGCAGTAATCCTCATGGTCCTCATTGTCAAACTTCGCAACGATATCAGTCCGGGCTATGTTGGTCTTGCTCTGTTGAATGTTATGACTTTCAACCAATCACTTACCGAAATCATTAAGGAATGGACCCTTATGGAGACAGCAGTTGGGGCAGTCTCTCGTCTCAAAAATTTCGCAGCAACAACTGTAAGCGAGAACCTACCATCCGAAGTTGAATCTGTGCCAGAAAATTGGCCAGCATTCGGAGCCATCGAATTCAAAAATGTAAAAGCGTCCTACACCTCGACATCCGTCCCGGTAATCCATGATCTCAACCTTGCTATAAAACCTGGAGAGAAAATTGGACTTTGTGGTAGAAGTGGAAGTGGCAAAAGTTCTCTCATCGCAGCGCTTTTTCGCATGTTGGAACTTCACCCCGGAAGTTCAATTCTTATTGATGGTATAGATATCAGCACAATCCCTCGACAAACGGTACGGGCACGGTTGAATGCTGTTCCTCAGGATCCCTTTTTTCTACGCAGTACTATCCGCAGAAATGCCGATCCGTATAGTGTTCACACTGATCTTCAAATAATCTCTGCGCTAGAAAAAGTACAACTGTGGTCTCTGGTTTCCTCCAAAGGAGGATTAGACGCGCAACTCGATACGGAGTTCTTCTCACACGGCCAGCGGCAATTATTCTGTCTAGCGAGAGCCATTTTAAGAGGAGGAAGAATTATTGTATTGGATGAAGCGACTAGCAGTGTGGATAGCGAAACGGATAAATTGATGCAGAGGGTTATTAGGGAGGTCTTTGAGGGGTGTACGATTCTGGCTGTTGCGCATCGATTGGATACAATTGCGGATTTTGACCGCATTGTATTGTTGGGGAAGGGAGAAGTGGTAGAGAGTGGACGATTTGGGGAGTTGACGGAGAGGGAGGGCGCGTTTAGGGAATTGTATGATTCGTGATTTGGAGGAGGGAGTGATTTCATGACTTTAGTCGACCGGGTCTATAGCCGCTAAAGATATGATAGTTGAAAATGATTAGAGAGGCAAAAAGGTAAGGATTCCCGATGTGGGATTTCAAACAGTTTTAGATACGTCACCTCCACCCGACGGAACGTCCATACTCGGAAATCGTTATCAGTTGTTTCGGGAGGCTTCGGATGAGGCGTAATTTAGAAAGTAATTATACTTTGTACATTAAATTACTTATGACTTGCATACATACGGCAGGAACACAGGCTCTGTGTGAATATTACGGTTGAGGCGTTATGCAGAGGAAATCATCCGTTGGATTCGTCACCGAATTGTTAATATCATGATCATTGTCGGTGTCTTATCAGTGTAGTTGTATGAAGATGTACGGAGTACATGTGTGAATTGCGAGAACACCGATAGCCTGATAATTTATGAGATGGTATTAGGAGCCCGCATTCGTCAAGTGAATTTAGTGTATTGTAGATTCGAAATTAAAGAGAGATTAGAACACCGACAAACAGATCTGAGTGCCAATCAGAAGCGAGAAATGAAGGGGTTTGATTTTCGAAGCTTTGATGGAGATCATAAAAGCATCTCTTCTAATTCTGAAAAGCAATAGTAAAATTTATTTGATTTTAATAGAATTGTATAGCCTCATTATTTGTTTCTCATCAAAATACCTCGAAAAATTCTTCAACTGTAAAATGAGGTACAGAATGCGCGAAGTGTCAAATCTCGACGTCGTTTCATATCCATGCAAACGCGAGTGTTGATTGTTAGGATTGTTAGGCGATGAGGTTTGGTATTTACAAAATTGTTTCTTTAAATATCTGTGCGGGTTGATATCTGATATCAATGAGGGCCCTGCTGTTTTGATAAAGTTTGATAGATTAGATAGGCACAATAATGTAGGTCGGTCTCGCCGAATTCTGCGTGGGGAGCATTGTTGATCCAGTCTGTTATCAGTGTTTGCCCGTTAAGTGGCTCGAGAGTGGATACGAGGTTTGAGTTGGGGAAGAGACGAAGAAGCTCCACTGATAGATAATGGCGGGTTCAAAGGGTGGCTGCTTTTGACGATGCCTAGGAGACCAAGAGCTTATCAAAGAATTAGTTTTTCTGGGTCCAAGATGCTAGTTCTCAAGTGGTTGATCGGGTAATTAAAAGTGGACTTTCTGGGGAAATTCATTGGTAGTCGGTCTTCCAAGAAGTCTGGATTGAAGGCCGAGATGAATCTTGGCCCGTTGGATTTTACTTGGAGAGGGGGATTCTTGGATTGAGGTTACGAACTATTGATCACGAGATTAGCTTGAGTGCTATGCGGATGTATAACCAATGGAAAATATTCAATTTTGTCTGCTGATAACACGGTAGTTTAAATAGTATGATACACATATGACGTTTGATGTAAGCCTTTCTATCTGCAAAGAAGGTTTTCGAACAATAAAATACTTCATTCTTTCCGGGAGCATCGGATGTAACGTCCCTCGAACAGGCTTCCTTGAACGCCTTGGAGAACGCCTCTTAAAGCCATCAAACGCCTGTGAACCACTGATGAACGACTTCAAGGCTGGTGATCCCTTTCACCCTTGATCTTTTAACCCTTGAATCCTCTTACCCACGGAAATAATGTACTTCGGGTTTCGTCACATGATATTTCTCATGTCAACCAATCGGTCCAACTTATTTTTAAATCCAGCCATTCTTATCTCTAATATCACAAGCACTAATATCCGAATTTCACGCGGCCTCTTCTCCATACCCACAACAATCCCTACCAAGCCTTTACCGTCGTGCATTAATTAAATCCTTTCGAAGTCTGCAAGGTTCAATCCTTGAAGATTATTCAAGTTTGATTCGACGTGGCAAAATGTGGAGGTAGATCTTAGTCGTGTTTAGAGATGACATTGTGTCATAAAAATTCCATGTCAGTCAATGTGCAGCCAAAGTGAACCTGTCAAGAAGCAAGAGAATGAGCGAGCTTAGAGAAGCAATGGAAATAAGAAAGGTTAAAAGCATCATCCTTGAATAATTCAAGGACTTGAGAGATAGCTGATATCTTAGTATTGGTTGCTAAGAAACTTGGGTGAACTAATTTTTTGACTGGGTCCGACAAAATAGGTATATCTGGAGATCGGGTGGGAGGGGCGAAGGGTTTTGGTGTGGTTTATTGCGGATTCATGGGAAAACTGCAAGTGGATGCGTCTTATGTGGAAATCTTTCCGGTAAACACGCTTTCTCTTCTAGGTATCATCCATGCTGATCAACTGGATTGAGGTCCCCTCGAGAAAGATGATATAGAAGCTACATTTCCCACTGTGCTGCACTCTCCTTCCCTTTTCTTTACCTACCATAATACAAAGCACCCTGAGAAGGTTATTTGAGTCGGGCACTCAAGTTGTTGAGCAGTCATTTTTTCTTCCTTTTCGCATTTACTATTATAATTAATTATTGATACCTTCGGATATCAACAGCAAATAGCACTCGATACAGTTACCTCTCGTGTTTCGATATAATGGAGGAACCAAAATATGATTCCGAAAAGGGTAATCCCCCTCTCACTACCACTGACACTGGTAGCCGAGAGGCATACATGGCGGATACAAAGGCACCTTGGTCAACAAGATTCGTCGACAGCTTCAAGAGAGATCCTAATGCTGCTGTAACAAAGCCAAGTCAAAGAGGTCTCGATGGACTCGAATCACATGTCTCAGGATTTGATCACAGAGCTGCTGCTGAAGCTACTGCCAATTCTGGTTTGGCTAGAGAATTGAAACCTCGTCATTTGCAGATGATTGCAATTGGTGGTTCCATCGGTATGTTAAGGGACCTTTTGTGATGTCGATTTAAAAAATTAAAAAATTGAATGCAAATGCTAATGGTGCTACCAATAGGTACTGGTCTTTTCGTCACATCTGGAGCTGCTTTGTCAAGTGGTGGCCCAGCTTCCCTCATCATTGCATATGGTATCATCGGTATAATGTTGTTCTGTACTGTTCATGCATTGGGAGAAATGGCTGTCGTTTTCCCTGTCTCTGGTTCCTTCTCTGCTTACTCTACACGATTCATCGACCCTGCTTGGGGATTCGCAATGGGATGGAATTATGCTATTCAATGGCTTGTCGTCTTACCTCTGGAAATCGTTGCTGCTTCAATTACTTTAGACTATTGGCCTGGTGCAGCTAACACTAATGCGGCTGCTTGGGTTACGATTTTCTTCGTGGTTATCGTTGCGATCAACTTCTTTGGTGTCAAAGGTTATGGAGAGGCCGAGTTCGTCTTCTCAATCATCAAGGTCGCTGCAGTCATTGGATTTATTATTCTTGGTATCGTTCTCAACACTGGAGGACAAATCGGAGGCGGAGAATATATCGGAGCTCGTTATTGGTATCCCAATACCGTCCCATCCACGTATGCTGGTTACGACGATCCGTCAAACCAGAACGCTGATGGAACTCCTCTCCAGATTGTATCCGGTGCCTTTAACAATGGTTTCAAGGGTCTTTGCTCTGTATTTGTCACAGCTGCATTTTCTTTCTCTGGTACTGAGCTTGTTGGTTTGGCAGCAGCTGAAACCGCCAACCCACGCAAAACCCTTCCAACTGCCATCAAGCAAGTTTTCTGGCGTATATGTCTCTTCTACATGGTTGCCTTGACCTTAGTCAGTGTTCTTGTACCATACGGAGACCAGCGACTATTGGGATCCAGTTCCACTGATGCCAAGGCCTCCCCATTTGTTATCGCTATCAACAATGCTAGAATTGGCGTTCTTCCTTCAATCATGAACGTTGTTATTCTTATCTCTGTTCTTTCAGTCGGAAACTCCTCCATTTACGGCTCCTCGCGTACTCTTGCCGCTCTTGCAGAACAAGGTCAAGCCCCAAAGTTCCTTGCCTATATTGATCGCAAAGGACGTCCTCTCTTTTCGATCATTTTGGCTTCAGTTATCGGGCTTCTCTGCTACGTCGTAGCTGGTGGACCAAGTACCGCTGCCACAGCTCTTAACTGGCTTTACTCTCTTTCCGGTCTTTCCTCCCTCTTCACATGGGGATCCATCTGCCTCGCACATATCCGATTCCGCGCTGCATGGAAAGCACAAGGTCACACCCTTGATGAACTAGCCTTCACGTCCCAAGTCGGAATTATTGGTTCGTGGATCGGATTCATTCTCAATTGCCTAGTACTCATTGCACAATTCTGGACAGCTATTTGGCCAATCGGATATGCATCGATGTCCCAAACTGACATTGCGAAAAATTTCTTCCTCGCGTATTTGGCGGCTCCGGTTGTCTTGGCCTTCTACATTCCTTACAAGCTTTGGTATAAAACTCCATTCATGAAGGCAATGGACATGGATTTGGACACAGGAAAGAGAGATCTTGATACTCCTGCATTGATCGAACAAGATCGTCTTGAGAAGGCTTCGTGGCCTGCGTGGAAAAGAGCTTACAAGACTATGTGTTAAATGCCACAAGGTCAAGGGATGGGGAACAACGGCGTTTGGGATTGGGTAATTATATGATTATGTATCATGCTTTATTACCATGTTAATGATTGTCTTATTTTGGTGTCTTGATGCTTGATAGACATATGAGGATGGGAAAAACTGGTTGGGGATGGGCGAAGCTGGGGTTAGGGAGCAAACATCTGTTAGATCAAATGTCGGTTGCTGGAATGGAGCGGAAAAGCATAGAGAAATTAAATGATATACCATTACCTCTTCAGATATGTTTGTCTTTTTGATGTGATATGATTCACTATATCGCCTGCTTTAAAATTCTGTTGTTGTAACTAGAAATTGAGCACTCGTATATCGCTTACTAACAGAGTATTTAATAGTTTGAATTATAATCCGATAATCAAGGGGTTTTTAACGTCCGAAATAGACTAGGATTCCAGCGTGTCTTTCTCATGATTTAACCCGTTCAGAGGTCGGAGTTTTCAAGCATCGGATACAGTTCGGATTGTTGGAAATTGTATTTACTCAATCGTTTTATTGAAATTTTGACAACGTATAGTATCATTTCAGTCTCTAGATTGGGATTTATGCCCTCTCATCTTATCGTAGAAAAAGATAGTAATGAGTTGGGTGTGATGCAGGGATAGTATGGTGTGGTCGGGCTAATTTGACCATGTTTGGGGGTTTTCTGGATTTGTCTAGTCTATAGCTAGTAGTCTAATATAGTACATGATGGTATGGTATGATAGTGTACATTAGCCCGGACGATCTGATGTTAGATTTAAGCTTAAAGCTAAAACCTTCTAGAGGATCTTGGATTGCGTCACAGGCAGTGAAACAGAACAGAATGGAATACATGGGATTGTTTGATGTGTTTTTAAGCTCATAACAGGGCTCGGATTCGCCAAATGTACGTTCCAGGAAAGGGAAAAACGAGGAAAAGCACGATGAAACGTGGAGATGGGCTCAAGGCGCCGGTGCCCCTGAGCAACTTTGTTTGGAGATGTGACATTGATATGGAATCCTGGGCTATGACAGTGTCGCTATGCAGTTACTTGTTTTTATGATTCCTTTATGTGGAATGAAGAAGTGAGAAAGAGAGAAAAGAAACTCAGGATCACAATCTTGAAAAGAGTGCGGGGAACGGATTAGCACGATATAGATAGGATAACAGGTATGCAATGGAATTTTGATGCGAAATTCTGATGTCGTTCATGACGATTTAGATGGCGTGAGAATGGAACGACTACTTGTTCTGATAGGTAATGAAATCTTGGAATATGAGTGTTGGGGGAAGTATCTTGTTTAGTAGCTGGGTTAGACTGAACATACTAATCTTTTTAGAATGAACTCTCAATCGTACTAAAAGATAAAAGAATATAGAGAGCTAAAAGATGTTTGGGCTGGAGCTACAGCTTGGAATGGTGTTCGTAAGAGAGAAAGAAGGGGGTGAAGCTGACGAGTGAGGGGAGCTGCTTTATAGTAGGATGTCTCGAGTTTGTCTTTATTTATACCGGATCAACTCGATCGAGAACTTTGGTTAAAGTCAGAGATAAACCTGGATGGAAGCGAGTGGAACTCCTTCAGATGTTCAATCAGTAGTAGATTGTATCGATCTGTAATTGTAAAACGATAATTGGGTAGGACAACGCTCGAATTCAATATCGCTTTGGGGAGGGCAGAGGAGAAGGAATCGATTAGACTCTTCGAGGGAGAAGATGGCATTATATTTACTTGATTACCCCGACCCTCCTATTTGTTGAGATGTTATGTATTTGAGCTGAGTTTTCTTTGTAATAATTTTTTTGGCTTTGGGGCTCTCATCACAATTTCCGGATCTTCCAGGCTAGCTTGATTAAACTTGAAGTCATTGCCCGGTGATCTAGCATGAAATGTGAAGTTTTTATTCGTTGTATCTATAGAATCATACAGTAGAACCTGACTATACCGGAATAAAAAAATTCGGTTAATCAAATCCGGTATAAAGAAGATTCCGACATAAGTGTTAATGGTCTACGCGTTTTGTACAATATTTCTTAGGGTTTTAATAATATTTAGTTTTGAATTCTAATATTTTTCGGAAAATATTATATGAAAGTAGTTAATCAAACTTACGTAGTTAAATTTATTGCCAATTTTTTTACTAGATTCGAAAAAAGGTGTTTGGTATTCTCGTTTTTGCTTAAAAATCTAATGTTACTATAAAAAAATTGTTTTAATAAGGAAATTTTCTGGTATATTCGAGATTCCAGTATATCCCAGTTTAGTATAGCTAGGTTCTATATATACTTCCAGTTCGCTTATCTTCTAAATCACCTTATTTGGTTTTATAACTAATCCAAATCTTCATTATATGAATAACGCCATCTTAGCTTCATTCCTTCGACTACGACGTCATTGTTAATCCCTATAGATGCTATATGCGATGAGACTGTCATTTAAGTGCTAGTTTCTATTCTACTTACGTATATGGAATGACGGCTATATCAAATTTATAACCTTGAGTCTTCTTGAATACCCCATTACCAGGGAGAATTTGTATTAACATGTAATTGATGACCACTGAAATTTAGTTTCTTTGGGATAACTGAAGAAAGGTGGAAAGTACATCTGAACCAAAGATATTAAGACCATATCCAACAATTAAACAAAGCACTCTGGCCAGTCTACCTACAAACTTATTCCAAAGAATAGTGAGGGTTCAATTCCTCTTTAATTAATCACATATTTAGGAGGGCTTGCTGTTAATATTTACCTTGCATGATTTTACATCACAGCCCCCAGTAACATCACGAGCACACTTTGCCAAGCCATATCATTAGTGTGAGATACTTTTGTGTGCGACGAGGCTTCAATAGAAAATTATAGCTGGCGAGCTCGTTGAGATTCTAAAAACTCTATGACTAAAGGTTTGGTGGATTGATTTAGTATCAATTTTCAAGGGTGTGAGAGTAGAAGGGGAATGACTATAATATTATAACATGTTGTTTGTCTAAGGCTTGGGATGATACTCGGGCGTGTATAAGCGAAGTGTAGCTGGTGGGAATGCTAAACATGGAGTCTGAAGTAAATTGGTTGAATGCTTTTATTCACTCAGATTATTTCATTCTCTTGAGAAAGTCCTAGTGGAGAGTTGATACGTATACAATTTTGGCTCTTTTTCTGAGTACTGTGACTGCGGTGACGGCTCTGTTGATGAGGCTGCCTGCAACTGCAAAAATCTGTCAATTGGTGAGGCGTGTAGCATTTAGGTGTTACAGTCCGTGCCTAGAAGAGGGAGTGCTCTAGGACACAGAAAGGCTTGGGATCATAGGCTCAGGACAGAGAACCTACTAGCAGACCTCAAACCAGTAGAACTCAGAAGTCCACTTCCTTAGTCAGCCGAAAACAGGTTGTCACAACCCAATAGTCTCGCGATGGAACCAGAGGCCTTGGGTGCCGATGGGGAATCCAAGACTCCTAGGATCCTAGAGGATCTCACAGCAGCAAATTATCTACACAGGTCATCGTCGTTTCCTTGGCAAATAGAAGCTTCATACTTACTCCAATAAAGTATCTTCATACATACTTAATAACTTCCAACGGTTATAAATGTAACGGTTAATAAAATAAAATAGCTCTTCCTCTGCGAGATAATCGGAAGCTCGACAGCAGCCCAGTGATTTCTATCCCGATTTCCGGATCTTCAAGATTAGCTTCATCATACTTGGGGTCATACCCGTGATTCAGTTTGAAATTTGGATTTCTTGTCTGTTGTATATCTGTAGGGGTAAGCATACTTCCTATCACCCGATCCTCGGCGTTTTTTATCGTTATGATTGCTCAGTGATTTGACTAGCCTCGTCCAAACATTAAGAGCTTTCTTACTAGATCACCACTCTTCAAAATGACCTACGTTATGATCACTATCATCTCGCTTCAATCACCAGACTAATCTCATCTGATACACAATAGATGGTTTGTTTGTTTTTATGTGAGCCAAACACGTTATCCAAGAGCCTTGACATCTTCATCTCTCCCCCCCCTCTTCCTTTCTCCCCCTCTTACTCATTTTCTTCTCTCTTTTCTTCACTACTTTCCACCTCCCCTGGACCTCCAGTCCCAAAAGCCCACTCTATGATCCTGACTAAACAAGTGAGATTGTGCATTGCCGCATAGCCTAGCAAATTGATCTCAGGTACAAAATATATAACGCTGATAGTCTATCTTCCACAGGAATGTCGGTATTATGACTTTCTCGCAGGCTCTGAAAAATAATCTGTATTTAGTGTTTATTGTGCACCACTCTATTAGCCCCGTTTTCTGTCGGAATCTGTCATCAATTTTTAGGATACAGGTGCTAAATAGAATAGATCATGGTTTATTGCATACCTGAGAAGATGGAGTGGATATATTAACCGCACACAAGCAGATTGACATTCTTCTCGGCTGCTCGGCGTTCTAAATCTTCAGAGTAGTAGTTCTGATTTCTGTTTACAACTCCCATGCTGGTTGCTTGTTCCCAGAGTATTGGATCAGGCTCTGGCTCAAGCTCACTCCACAACTGAAAGTAGTCTGCTGCTATACACGCCATGGCAACTTGGCGCAGCATGCTCGGACGTCGGCGCACTAACTCACGGAGTGTCAACTCTGATGGAATGAGCGGCAACCATATCAAAAATGGATCAGGCCAACATTCTGCGCCTGTAATAGTATGTGTGGTGGTAGTGCTCTGATCGGCAATCCGCGATAAATCGTTTACCATGATGAAGCGGGCTAGAGCAGCCTGTCTGATGTCATCACGAAAAGGGCTATGGGCTACGTTTGGTTGATGATGACACCATCGTGCAAAAGCCGTGTGGTGATAAATACCACGGACTACGGCCTCAGTTTCATGATGGATCATGACAGGACGTCGTAAACGTGCGTATCGATCGATATTACCTTCACAAGCAGCATGAAGAATCAGAGCATCCTTGTTGGTGGTCGGGAGGTGGAGCGGAAGAGGATTGTAGAGCAGAGGCACGTGCTCAGGAGCTAGAGGGAGACTGTGAGTTTGACCAGAAGAGGTCTCGCTGATGCAATGATCCTCCGTAATGTTGAAATAATGCGAACGAGTTCTCGAGTACTCTTTCATAAATTCAACCGTCACACGTAAAGACGAGAGTACTGCTGTGTCGCCATTTAAACCCATTGCTTTGAGTGGAGCTTTCTAATTTACCGAGCGCGTATAATCATCCATGGCGGCATAGTATGTCGGTTGGCACATGATAAGATCGAATATCTCCTGCGAGCCGCCAATAATCAAGTTTTGTCCGGGAGCAAGTCTAGTTCGCGATACAAGTCGCTATAACCCCCAAAAGCACACGCTCGACCAACATGATACTTCATATCAGGATACCTATGGACCAACTCACGATATGTATCAACGCTTGCTACCTGTGGATGCCAAATACAGTAAGGCTTTTCCTCGTCATCTCTCATAAGCGGAATTTTATCGCTCATGATTAAGCGAGCATTCCTGGCGCGAGCGAAGATCTTATTGGTACTCTTAGCACAGATTTCCTTCATTGGCGCAGACTCGACAAATGCTATGTTACAACGCAACCCATGGACTACGCAAAAAACTATTGTCTCGTGACGAAGATTCTTTGGAACGAATTCCCCTCGCATCGCGTTTACATAATCTTGTTCTGAGGGCGAAGCTCTAGGATCGTGCGAAGGGAAATGAAAATCTTCATCCAGGTCCGAAAAGCCTGAAAGAGAATCTGATTTTTTCGGAACCCATCGTGGTATCTACTCGAAACTCTTGGAGTTACAATTGAAAGTAAAAGGATGGCAGTATATGAAGATTCAAATGTTCCTTTCAAGTGCGGTAGACACTCTTTTGTATTGTGACTTCATTGAATAAATCCCTGTTGGAGCACGATATTGAAAGCCCTTGCTTTAACAAAGCAAAACCCACTCATCCCAATTTTATGCTAGCATGCCACTTCCATACGTAGTTCTTAAGGAGTACATATGAGTAGACAATGGAGGCCCTTCATTTCTCTGGTAAAAGCTGACCGCGTATTCTTCGTTTTGAAAAAGTCAGCAGATACATACCCTGATGACTCATTGAAGAGATAACGATCTCTGACGCCTACTGGACCGTGCGAGAATTGTCGAGATCATAATTGTACAGACTCCTGGCCAAATCCGCTTACAGTCAAGGCATTCGCATTGTCTGCATCGACAAGACAGATGAAGTTATAATATGGCACGTCGCGGATTTGACAGAAAGATCACAATTAGATATGAGACAAAGAGCAAGCTCAGATTACTTACCCAATTCATCAGTATATATTGCCCCAAGGGTCTCCTGATAGCCCCCAGAAACTATATCGAATAAAAGACTTGAACATGAGATTTTGTCACCGAGCTCACCCCGCAATGTCGCCAGATCCGTCTCCAGATGATTCTAGCGTCGTTCGAGCAGGAAGCCGCAAAATCAGACATTTACTTAGATCAGGTCAGGTAATATACTGACCAAGTAATATTAGTATATTTACTAAGACAGATCCATGATCAGAAGGATACAATCACCCATGAATAGCTCTGAAATTCTATATGTAAAGGCGGTGTCTTCGGCAGACCAGTTGTATATAGCCGTGCTCGGAAAGATATTGCCATGCCGATGGGCAAATGAGCAAAAAACCCTTTCAACAGTGTAACTAAGAGTCACTGCAAATGTTGTTGCAGTTTGTCATTATTTTTTGGAAGGTTTATGAGTCTGATTTCACAAGTTCACAGTTCTGCTCGTCTTTTCATTGTAATTAGATGTTAACAATTCAGCAAATCTTGATGCAAAAAAAGAGTGAGCTGATAGACAAAGAGTCAATTGATACCTGATATTGAAATAGTGGATACTATGTGTACGGTGACCACTGAAACTAAAACTCGTCCAACTAATTTGTTTCCGGGAATATTTGACTTTCCGCAGTACCTTAAAATGAGCTGATATTGACATCCAAATGAGGCGGAGCGCGGGGGGTTGCAAGTACCTCGGTATATGGATAATACATGGAGCTTCTGAAGTCTCTACCAGTGTTGACTTCAAGCTGTGCCGCAGACTCCCATTCTTATCCGCAATCTCCGGTGATTTTGTGGAGCACAGGAGCTACGAAGGCCGAACTCAAAATTCAATCAAATATTGAACTAATTCGAATGAGGAAAGTACTAAACTTATGAGTCAATCACCACAATGGAAACCTTTTCAACATAAAATCTAGGCTCCATAGCTAATAACACTAATGCAGTGCTCTACACAACACATACGTTTGGAACCATTGCGTCGGTAAATTAAGGTTAATTAAACCCTGAAAGCTTAATTGCTCTTGAGGACCTCGCTTAGACCAGCCCCCCGCTTAATATTACCTCTAATCTCTGTCCCCTGTCACTAGCTGAAGCGGATCTGTGGATCCACTCTAAGTAACATTATTACCCTACGTGTATGCGAAGATACTGGAGTCGTGGATCTTTTGCAATCTCGCGAGACACTCAATGCCATCTCGGTAGACGGAGACGATTCTGGTCCATGTGACATTGTGTGTGACCGTGGCCACTATCCTGTCGAGCTTAACACCGACAAGCGGAATTAATAGGGCCACGGCCTGACTAAAATACCACTGACAATTCTTACTACGACGCATCTGACATACTCAATATGACATACTGCAACGCTAGTTCTCAGCCAACCATGCTGAAGGATTCACTTTCCGCTACAGCTTCTCAGTCAATTCCGTCTAAATGCTGGAGTCAATGGACGGTGGGATTCTACACGAGACACTTGACGACCTACAGAACGAGTATAACACATCAGTTTAATGCTTTGACAATAGATTTGGCTACTACTTCCTGTGGGCCAAGACCAGCGTTGGTTCTGCTCTCAGTGACTTTATGGATATTGAAATTGGAAACGGAAACGCTTTCCTTTACTGCAAATCGATGAAAAGCGACACAGGAAGTGCTATAGTCACGTGTACTCAAATTACTCTAATAAGTATTGCCTTGGAATTTTGGGATCTTCATTATACACTGATTGCCCCTGTAGGTTTTTACACAGCCACCGCCAGCCAGCTAGGCATGGAGAGAGATCAGATTGCATTTGGAGACTGGGAAGTACCAAGGGATTGCGTTGTCTTGAAGGAGTCATTAGCAATCATTCCGCGGGCGGTTGGCCCCGGAGGAAGTAGTCGAGAGTCTGATATCGTCGTTACAACCTCTAAGACAGGCATAGAAGCAGCTATGCCCAACACTTGGAAAATGTAGCAACAGGTCTGTAGTTCGAGCTTGCGCTCAGGATTAGCCAGGCGAATAATCCAGCACACCTGGATCAATGCTTTAAAATGCCGTCGACTCAATGAATATTCAAAGACGTCGGTGCAGAAGAGGAGGCGGAGGAAAAAAAGAACTTGAACCTCGAGGTTTCAGGTACAATCCTCATGGTAGTGTCCATTAATGACGGGGCTGAAAGGGTAATTTTCAACGGGATAGCTAATATAGCTCAACTCGCCAATCTAGTCGACGATATTGGAAATGCAGCTCTCACCGCGTACGAAATCTTAGAAGACAATTCATCTGCTACTTTTTCCATCAAGGGCATTCTTAGTGGACATTTCTGAAATCTATCTGAAATTGTTGATGTTCCAGACAAGATGACCACTGTACGAAGCAATTTATCGATGATAATTTAGCTCAGTCTGGAAATGCATACAGTATCGCAGAATAGTACGGAATATAGTCTACTCAGCCCCAAAGAAAGGATTGGACTCTATTCTTACAGCGTAATAAATGACCACTCGATCGAGAAACTCAAGAGATGAAATGGAGTTAGTCAATTATTACACAAAATGAAACGGAACGAATTCAGCTTTCACTTTTTTTGTAAGTAATAAGGACATAGATAGACATGATCATATATCAACTCCGTAGTTATACAAATATTCATATTCTCATACTCATCTGAGCTTCTCATCTCATCTCATCCCATCCCATAAAATCCCCTCTCAATCCAAATACAATCATCTCCTATCCCACCCCATCCCCATCCCTAAATCTACCCCCCAAAGCCCCCTAGGTATGGCCCACCAATCCCGCCTGAGGCGCATTATCCGGATTTGTATTCGCGCCCTCAAAGCCCAACGCCGTATTCCAGGCATCCGCCGTCGTCACATCCTTCGTACCCAACGCACTAATTTTCGTTTTCGCATCCGCACACGCGGTCTTCGCCGCCGCATTCGCATTACATACATTAGCCAACTGATCGCAGATGCGATTGGTGATGATATTAGGATTAAGTGCTTCTTGCTGGCCTTTGTTGACCAAGGGATCGATGGCTTGGAAAGTGAATTCGGTGTCTTTGCGACCGTCGAGACCGGCTTCGAATTTGATGGTGGGGACGCAGAGACCGAAATCGAGACCGGTGATGGAGGAGGCTTGGGAACTTGAGGATGTGGAGTTGGTTAAGGCGACAGAGGAGGAAGCAGCGGGAGTGGCTGTAGCGGCCATAGTGACAGTTACGAAAGTAGTACCTCCACAAGCAACTGCACTTGAAGAAGCCGCCGCGACAGCAGCCACAGCCACACTCGAAATACCCGAAGAAGCAGAACTAGCAGTGGAATTCGAAGTCGACACACTTCCGCCCGCAGCGGAAGATCCAGATGGAGTTCCCTTATTTCCTGCTGCATCGGTGGTTGTAAAATTTGAGAAACCTTGCGCAACCATTACATCCGCAACACTAAGACCATCAGCTGCAAACGGCGTTGTGGTACTCGTTGCACTTTTTGCATTCTCGGTGGCGCTTCCTCCTACAGCCGGATCGACCAAAGGAACAACACCGCGAAGAGCAGCTGTAGTAGGTAAAGTTGGGTCAGAACAGATATTTGGAACGGAAACGACAAAAGGGTTGAAATTTTGTTCGGCGGCTACGAGACCGCGCGCTGCAGAAATGACAGCGGGGTCGTCGCCAAGTTGCGCAACGATGGCGTCGGCTTGGGTGAGTTTTCCGCAGGGGTTGGCAGCCGCGAGGAGGAATTGAATGGAGCCCCCTCCAAGGCTTGCGGCAGCACCTGAGGTTCCGAAGTCGCTGAGGGCGGTGATGGCAGCAATTGCTCCGTTTCCTTGTTCTTGACCGAAACTAAGATTGGAAAGTTAGGATATGTGCACAACTTGAGCACTTGTAGATAAGAAGACATACCGAGCTTCGGCCAAAGTCACTAGCAAAGAAGTGAGGATGGTCTTTGAAAACATGTTGATTTGATTGGTTTTGGTAGCGATATGATAGGTATTGGTTTTGAAAAAAGGTAGTATGAAGAATGACTGTTTAAAAACTAAAAGATTGGACCGGCCTAATTTGAAGGATGTATTTAATGAAAGTTTAGATAATATTATAGCAAAGAACGCAGTAGTTCACAGAACTAAATGAATGAAAAGACAGTCAAACTGTAGATTGAGAGGAAGATTGAATAGATGATGATGAAAAAGAAAATTGTCGAAGGAGAAACATCTTGTACTTATACATAACGAGAATGAGAGTCAATTCCAAGGAACGATTAATCAATTGTCTGGGACCAATGCAGACTTTGCATGCTTGTAGAAGATCATACCATGCGGCGGTTAAGTTTACTGCTTGAACAATGTCTATACCGTTGAAGCTAGTAAGCAGGCTCAGGAGATAGGACGAAAATGCTAGGGCTGATACACACTTCAGATGACAGAACCTAGCTGACATCATTGCCATGAACTTAAAATTGTGAGAAACCCTAGTCTTTTTCACCTCACTCAACATTTGCAAGATTACTCACCACCCTCCGCATCAAGGAACCGAACGATATTATCATTTCTGAATCATTTCAGATATCAGATGAAGCCACTTCGAGTCTCACTTTTCACCATCTCAAACGTCTTGTGCCTCTACCATAAGCTTACTATAGAATGTAACCGTACCCCTTGTCGGAAAATTTCAGGCGGGTCACTTAATTTGGCAGTTCTGCAAAACATACAATCCATTCAATGAAATCTGGGGAAACAAGCTACCAGATAGATTGTAAGCTTAAGTGTTTTAAATTAAGATTGATTGAAAATTTCCGAAACCCCTGTATTCTGAACCCCTTGCATTCCGAGATCGCTTATCTTATTTTAGTCTCCGTCTGAAGCCAAGGCTTGAGACGAAGTTGAGACAAGGGGGGTTTTAGCAGGGATCTAGCGCGGTCGGAACACCTCAACGACATCTTCGGTACAGATTCATGGATCTGGAACATCAATACCGATTTTATCGTAGCACTACACTGATGAATAGATAGTAAGGATTCAAAGAATATTTTGGTAAGCTTCCTCTGCATATTCTTAAACGTGTTGCCAAGATGAAATCTCGCCCAATCAAAATTTTGCGAGAAAATCGTAATAAGAACAGGAGAGCAATTTCTGTATATTGGAAAGAATAGTCGTGATGTGACACTCCCACCTTCAATATTCGTTGTCTAATCTTCATCTCAATCGCATGAAATTATGCGATATTACATCCATCGGATCTTGCAAATCATAATAATCCAATTAATTATGCGTCCTTCTTTCGATCCTCGCCGGCATCCCATCAGATGGTTTAGCACTTGCAATTAATTCTTGGTAAGCACGATCTCCTAATATTCTGTTAGCTTTACTGATATCGCTCTGATCTTGCAGAAGAAATCCTCTCACCGAACATTCCACGTGTACCATTGAGAATACCACCGGGTTCCTTCCTACCCAGTTTTCGATCCCAAGTCTCGTAGTCGGAATTGATATCGAATTCTCTTAAAGTCATAGCCATAACAATCTTCATTTCAAGAAGAGCAAGTTCTTGTCCAATACAATCTCGGGATCCCCTTTCAAATGGTCGCCAAGCATTCTTTGGAATTTCTTGAAAGTTGTCCGGTGCAGGCATGAATCGTTCAGGAATGAATTCGTAAGGGGAAGGGAAAAGGTCCTCTCGGTGATGTATGGTATGAACACAAACCATTACCATGAAATCCTTAGTAGGGTATTGTCGACCTTCATATTCAAGAACGAGATCATCTCCATGTCGCGCTGTATCTGCCGGTGGGTATCTCCGGAGAGTTTCCTTGATACAGCTATATACGTATGGTAACTGATTTACTATACTCGGGTTCTCTTTGATCATATCTCCAGTTCTTGAAGTGTCCTTTCCAAATACCCTATCCAGTTCATCTCGCGCTTTGGCTAAACATTTAGGATTTTTACCTAGGAGGTGGTATGTGTAGGCAATAGTACTTGAAGTAGTGTCGTGACCAGCGAATAGGAATGTTTTCATTTGATCGATTGATACTTGCTTGAAAGTTTGATCCAATCCACGATCGCCCAATGCGATATTGTCCTCCTCTTGTTGGAGAATATATTCGTCGAGAGCAGTATCAATAACAGGCTTCTTCTTACCTTTCGTGGCACCCCCTTCCTTCTCTGCGAATCGAGTATCCAAGACTTTGTTAAGGTAGCCGTCCATTTTCCATTCATAATACTTTCGCATAATCGGACCTAATGGGTTTAGGTTTACCAATGGATTTGTCGCAACAATTTTTGGTGTCCAAGAAATAGAATTTCGAAAATATTCGACCAGCTCACTCTTCATCGTTTGAGAGTTCAAACTAATATCCAAAACAACGTGACCCATTATATCAATAGTCAAAAATGCAGCCGCTTCTTCAATTGGATAGACCTCTCCCGAGTCGGCAAGTTTGCCCAAAACATCGCGAAATATTTCTACCTCGTCGACAAGACTGGGCATGAGTGTTGTTAGATGAGCAAGAGCAAACCCTTGATTGAACAACGCCCGGTTCTTCTTCCATTCCAACCCTTCTGTAAGTAGAATACTTCTCTTCCCGGTGATATGGCCAACATATTGCCCAGTGACAACTGATTTTGGGAGTGAGTGGTTTTGCGTGCATTGTGCAGCAAGATTCTTTCCAACATCAGTTATGTTACGATACCTATTGGTGCTTTCTTATAAAGTATGATGGAAGAAATAAACATACCGGATCACAAATAATAATTTGTCTCCAACGAAAGAATGGCCAATTGTCCAGGATGAACATGTCCTTTAAGTTGTATTTATCGTATATCATGGTCATAATACCATGAGGATGTGCAGTCATTGGTGCGTGAGCATATTGATCGCCCATGGATTTCAACGTGCCTAGCAAAGTACTGAAAGGCGGGCAAGGTATTCCAGATGCCTATTGAGTTGATCAGAACGTGCAAAGTTGGATGAGAGATTGTCATTTACATATTCCTTGTACGATTTTCTATATTGAATGAATCTTACTACCCAGGCTGTGATCGTTATTGCGAGAATCGTGGCAATGAGCGCCATGACCTTATTGGAAAGCCATACATTGTCAATAGGACCAGAGCTATTCCCAGGAGACAACGTTGTTTTGTTCCCCATGTTGAAGATTTGGTGAGAATTGGAAGAAAAAGAACGTCGTCGTAAATGCTACGCGTCGGAGTAGTGAAACTCGCGAAGTGTTGAAAATTACAATTACCTTGATGGGGAACACATTGTGCTCCTTCGAATTGATACGTCGTTAGAAATGCGTTCTAGGGATATATACTTGAGAAGAATCTCGATAATTGATGCTTCACCAACCGCCTCTTAACAATCACAGTGAATGCAATAAAACGCGTACGAATTCCATGGTTTAATATAACAACATTCGATTGTTTGAACAACAATGCCGGAAATTAATTCAGCCAATCAACCGAGGTTCAAACAAATTCCCTGTGGGTTACATAAGCGAACTCGAAGCACGACCAAGTCATTCATTCTCCTCTTCCCGAGTGAACTGAACTCTCCCAAGTACACTCATAACATTTCCAGATGTTATCAGAGACGGTACCAACAAGGTCCATGAAATTATAGTGGATGCTTCGAGTCACGTGGGCACTCGTCTCTCTGACCTCCATATATTCCGTCAACAAAGATATATTTCTACAAATGGTATATACTCGTCTCTACTGATAATCTAAAACTCGCTCTCTATCGCTATAATACAAGAAGGGGAAAATGTCTATAGACAAAATCATTAATACATGAACCAACACATATATTTCCTCAAGCAGTCTTCCATCCTAACAATGCTCCCAGCCTCGCTACATGTTTCATGAATCCCCTCGTAGGAGCATGAGCTCTTCTCCATCTATAATATGCCAATAATCCGCCAATTACGATCGGTGAAGTTAATACACTCACCAAGCCCACTATAATCAATTTGCCCTGTTTCTGGCTCTTCGTTACAATCTCGGAATATCGCTCATTGCTGAAGCTAACACGAGAGTACTTGGTTTGCCATCCAAGACGAGGTACGTATACACTCAATGTTTCTTCTAACCATTTGCGGAATTTGTAGACCGGTGAGATAACGGCTGCGCGCATTTCAAAGTAGTTTTCGAAAGCTAGATCGTTGATAGCGTGTGCATCGGCTTTACGGACTTCGGAGTAAACGCCCAGAGCAACAGAACGACACGCTTCGGTGCTGAGAAGGGGGAAATTGCGCTTCTCATCATCGAGAACGGAATAGAGAACGCGGACATCTTCCAGACCGGCGTTCATTCCTTGTCCGTAAAATGGAACCATGGCATGAGCGGCATCACCGAGGATGACAACTGAATCTTGGAAATGGTAAGGTTTGCATTTTATGCTTATGAGTGGAAGATGTGGGTTATTTTTGAATGATGATATTAAAGAAGCATGATCGATTAGTTTTGTGACACCTGGAAAATGTTCGTCGAAGAAAGCCGGGACATTTTTAGGGTCGGTTTCGAGCTCATTGAAAGGTCTCGATGGCATGAAGAGAGTGCAAGTAAACGAGCCATCCTAATTTACGTAAGAAGATAATCGAAAAAGATGCAAAACAAGGCCTACATACCGTGCTAGGGATTGCGATGAACATAAAATCTTTACCGGGCCAGATATGTAAATGGTGTGGAGATATTTTAAAACGAGATGCTGGATCCTCTCCAGTTTGCTTTTGAGCATCTATCGTAAACTCACACCATAGAGTGTCGATATACTCCTGCTGATAGTCCATTCGGAGATATTTCATTAAGTGATAACGTGTAGCCGAATGAGCCCCATCAGCTCCAACGAGGAAATCAAAATCTACTTCCACTTCTTGGTCTCTAATCTCGACGGACCATTGAAGTGATTTTCCACCGTGAACTTCAAACCATGCCTTTTTGTTTCTGAAATCAGCTCCGGTTAGTTTGTGATTGAACTTGAACTTGACATTAGGAAGAGACTCGAGCTCATCGAGTAATCTTTTGTTGAGATCTCCTCTGTCCACGGCATATATTGACTAGAAATCGTATTAGTAATGTCATTGCTACTGTGGTCATAGACATTCATACTCTTCCATGGATATCATAGTCTTGTGACTGTTCGTAGAGCTCCTTATTAACCGTTTCGCCGTGAATCATCCTACCTCCCATCGGTATCGCCTCTTTCATGATACTATCAAGAAGTGCTGTGCGCCCAGATTGTCTTATGGCATTAATTCCCCGCTCTGATAAAGCGAGATTGATAGATTTTGTGAAATTGAGAGGTGTTGTGGAAGGATCCCGAAGATCTAAGGCTTTGTTAATGGGGGAGATTGCAAGATTGACTCATAAGTTCACAAGCCGATGTAGCAGTGATAAAGGGGACCTGTTCTCCAGTGATGTATACATCAAGAGAGAACTGGAGAAGGATAAAATGTGCCAAATTAAACTCGATCTAACCTTCCGCAATCCCAACAACATGAAAGTTTCCCCCTAAAAGATTTGTGGCGATACCCTCACATGACTCATCTACATGATGGAAAAAGAGCTTTAAAAAGAGAGTCTCTGTGTATAATTGAAGAGTGAACTTTCACTGGGTGTGTTTTATATCATATACAGACTGTCTCTAAATTTCCTTGGGTAGTTCCTGTGAATTGCAAACTATTCAGGCAAAAGATGAAAGAATCAAAACGTACCACTTCGGAGTTCATATATTTCTACATCATCCCCTCGTTGAGCTGCATATAAAGCTGCTAAAGCTCCGACCGGGCCAGCTCCAATAATAACAGTCTTCTGTCTTGAAGATTGTTCAGGCATTTTCGATTAAAATGTCAACTCAAAAGGATTGAGGCAAATTTTTGAGAATTCTACTTATGACATTTTTTGGAAAATATATAGTACTCCGGTCCGGTGATTTATCATTAGTGAAGGGTCTATTTGGTATGACTTTAGAATTTTTAGAAATCATTTCACTAAAAACACCCCTCATCTCACGTGATCGTATGATTTTATGAAATTATATGAACGCTAAGCTGAAGCAGGACACCGCCTTGGCACAAACTGTTAATTTAATTGGCTACTTGTCTTCACGCCCTTTCTAGAACACTTTTGGGAACACGGCTGACAGAAATTTACCAGAAATTTCGCCTTGTCCTACTGCACAAGGTTATAACAAAGCTGTTTAGCCATCAAGGTCTCTCGGAAAGTCTGTATATTCCCATATTATAAATTTCTTGCAGATCTCCTTCACTATGGCATCAGAAGACTCAGCATCTCCCAGAAAATGCATAGGCGTTGATTGCGAGAATGAAGCTGGCTCATTACAATGTCCAACATGTTTGAAGCTTGGCACGAAAGACAGCTTTTTCTGTTCGCAAGATTGTTTTAAGAAGAGTTGGGTATGTGCACTTGAATCCTATCTAATCCATCATCCAAAGCATTTCGGACCTCTCAGCAAATCGGCAGAACATCAGATGTCGTCCACTTTGATTGCCCCTCTGAGGAAGATTTGGAGGGGTCAAATGTTCAATCCAGCGCAATGCTAACAACGATCACAGAGTGAACATAAGAAAGTCCACAAGTCACAGAGTAATTTCCTCAGTAATATCTTTACCCCAAAAGTTGTTTCTAAACCCGATCCAGCTACCGGACTATTCAATCCATTTCCTACCTTTCCATTTACCGGATCGTTACGACCTGTTTACCCATTATCCGATCATCGAGAAGTACCAAAAACTATTCAGCACCCCGATTACTGGAGAGATGGAGTTCCACGCAGCGAAAGAACTAGTCAAAGAAACAAGATTGAAATTTTGAACAAGGAACAGCAGGAAGGCATGAGAAAGGTTTGTCGATTGGGTAGAGAAGTTTTGGATATTGCAGCCGCAGCCGCTAAACCTGGAGTCACTACCGACTACATCGACGAGATCGTACACAAAGCTTGCTTGGAGAGAAACGTGAGTACCTTGTCGTGAAATAAATTGAATTTGCTGATCAGCCTAGTCGTACCCTTCTCCTCTCAACTACTGCGATTTCCCAAAGTCCGTCTGCACATCCGTTAACGAAGTCATTTGCCATGGTATTCCAGATAGACGGGTTTTGAAAGATGGTGATATCCTGAACATCGACGTTACACTCTACCACGGAGGCTTCCACGGCGATCTCAACGAAACATATTATATTGGTGATAAAGCAAAGGCGGACCCTGACACAGTGCGAGTGGTGGAAGCTGCACGAGAATGTTTGGATCTAGCCATCGAAATCGTTAAACCTGGAGTACTATTCAGAGATTTTGGAAATGTTATAGAAAAGCGCGCCAAGGAGTCGAATTGTAGCGTCATCAAGGCATATTGTGGTCATGGAATCAACAGCTTGTTTCATTGCGCACCAAATATTCCCCATTATGCGAAGAACAAGGCTGTAGGTACAGCAAAACCGGGAATGTGCTTCACAATCGAGCCCATGATTGCATTAGGAACACATAAGGATAAGACTTGGCCAGATAACTGGACCAGTGTCACTCAAGATGGAAAGAAAACTGCCCAATTTGGTATGTAATTTTGAACTTCATTGACTGTGATCATTTACTAACATCTAACAGAGCATACTCTTTTGATCACAGATGATGGTTGTGAAATCTTGACAGGAAGACTACCTGACTCTCCTGGTGGACCCATACCAATGCCAGTCGTTGCCGAGGAGACTAATGGGGAGACGAAGGAAGTGGCAGCTTGAGAAATAATTAGTACAGATAGATTGTAGCCAAGCCAATAGCCACCAGGGCCATATCGAGGGCAATGAGGGGAGGGGGGGATTTTTGTGACCCCATGAATCCCGTGTGAATAGGAAATGGCATTTCCCAGCCCCGACCCACTAGTCATCCCAGAGATATGATAGCCTCTGAAGACTAATAAATGAGGAGGTAATCAGGAGTAAATCCGAATAAAACTTTCCAACACAATACTGGAAGCCTTCACAGTACGGCTCTTAAGTTTTACTCGAGTGTATCTACTTCACTTCTACCTATCTACCTATCTACCTATCGATCGTTCATGCCCCTGACAAATATGCACAATTTATACATGCATAAGCGAATGAAATATTACTTATTATCCTATCAGAAGGGAACAAATCCTTGATCTTGATCTATCAACACAATACTAACAAACTTTCTAAGTCTCCAACAGCTTCGTCATTCGCCGCTTGTGGATCATCATCCGAATCTTTCCCACTTACTATAAGCTTCCAGGAAAACCGAACCACTGTGGTACTGCATAAAAAATAATTCTGCCAACATCATCTAGATTCTTCTCTCACCAAGGTGCAATCAATACGGTGCCGATTTTGGAGGATTTCCCCACCTTTAGAGCTTAAACTTGAACTACCCATACTCAAAAAAATCCCTTCAGAGAACAGACAACGAACAACACGCACGCAACCATCCGAGCTCCTAGAAGCAACATCTTGACTCGAATATATATTCGGAGACCTTCATCGCAGATATTGCAACTTGAGAAAATATACAAAAGGCTTTTTCATCGCGCATTCGACGCGATTCACATAGGTTGCCCAAGATGATGTCAGGAGAGGCATGGTTGTACCTATTGGCGGTGCTTATCAATGCCGTCAATCTGTTCCTACAAGTATTCTTCACTATTATGTACAGTGATCTCGAGTGGTAAGTTTGATTTCACTTTGTTACCTCTTCAATCCAGGATTGCGGAGGGTTCGGAAAGGTGGACAGAGTAATAGAGACTTGGCCTCTACCACATGCGATAAGCATGTATATCGATCCTTTGCTACTGGGATGGAACGACTCAAGCTTCATCATACTACGAAGTAATGCTAACATCGAATGGCACAGTGACTACATCAACCCTATCGATCTTTGCAACCGTTTGAACACGTACATTATTCCTGAAGCCGCGGTTCATGGGTTCTTGACCTTCTTATTCCTTATCAACGGGTACTGGGTTGCGCTCGTTCTCAATCTGCCACTTGTGGCATTCAATGTCAAGAAGTAGGTTCCCGCTGCAGTGGTAGAATATCAAGATTTTGGACATTCGCTAACAGATAATTAGGATTCTCGATAACGCACATCTTCTCGATGCCACTGAAATTTTCAGAAAGCTCAATGTCCACAAGAAAGTAAGTTGATACTTGGTTCCATGTCTCGTCATATTTTTAAGCTCTCACTAACATCCCTCTCTCAACAGGAATCCTTCATCAAGCTCGGTTTCCATCTTATCATGTTCTTCTTCTACCTCTACTCTATGATCGTTGCCTTGATCCGGGACGAGTCGCATTGACTTAAGAACAACATCGGCGACCGGTATAAAGTGGAGGCATAGGTACAGTTATAGGTTCTACGGTCAAGGGCAGAGCTTGCTCGACGAGACGTAACTAGAAGACTACGAAAAATGGGTGGCAGGTTTTATATGTGCCATGATCTCTGCGATATGTTAACTACGAATGGTATGGCTGAATGAATGGATGAATGGTGGTAGTTTAGGTGTAATGGTAGTGCTCTCTCCATTGGTTTCGAGCCTGGCAGGAAAAAGGGGAGAATTCTATAATGAGTAGACTTCGTGCAGAAGTTTCATGTGGATAGATACCTAACATGCTAGAAACGGCATGTTTTTTTTTGATATGAATGAATCTTGTTATTTTGCGATTATCAGATATCAAATATCTTGCTTTCATTAGCATTTTCGAAAACTATTCAGTGCCATAAAAGCCATAAAATTCAACCAATGATTGATCCTTCCAATCGATAGAGCAACGCTTGCGCCTTGTATCGCCTGCATGATCACGTGCTTATGTTTTCAGCCTCGTCGTTCTATCGCGAAAATAGTCTCGCGCCTTGTACTCAGGTTTAACTTTGTGAGACGAGAAAGACAACAATAATTATCTACAAATATTCGCTCTCGATTCTGTTTTTCCCATCAATTCAAATCGAACCTTTCAAAATGGCGGACTTTGGCGCATACCCGCCCAATATGGCACCTCAAAATGCCCTCATAGCTCGAAATGCAGAAGGTCCAGAACATGCCGTAGTTCAATACAGCGCTGATAATTTGGCCCGCGCAACACAGGGTCCTGCAAATCCTTTCAAAGACGAGAAAAGTTCACTTAAGCGCAAAAATGTACTTACTGGACATGCAGAGGAGACCTATATTAGTGAACATACGTTTCGAGATCAATATCGAGCGGTGGAAAGAAGAGGGAATCATCTTTCAGGTGCGGAAGCCAAGGAAGAAGCAGCTAGGATACGAAGTAAAAGACAAAAGAAGGGAGATTCAAGTATAGCGGAAGGTGATAACGCGTATGTTGGACCTTGGGCAAAATACAAAAGGGAAGAATATGAGGAGGTTAATGAAGATGAACCATTACGAAGCGATGAAGAATACGAAGAGATTGAAGAGGAGGAGGATCTAATAGAGAGTGGAACTGTGATTGCTGCACCGCCGCAAGCTTTAGCGAGACGACAAGAGGTCGAAGAATTGGGTGAGGAGACAACGACTTTCGAAGGAAGCGAACAGTATGATTACCAGGGACGAACATACATGCATGTTCCGCTGGATCTGGATGTAGATCTGAAGAAGGAGGCTGGAAGTTTCAAGAACTATGTACCGAAGAAGATGATACACACTTGGAAAGGACATACAAAACCTGTTGTTGGAATACGATTCTTCCCCGAATCCGGACATTTACTTCTCTCAGGGAGTGCCGATACGACAGTCAAAATTTGGGATGCTCATCATTCAAGAGAGCTATTACGAACATATTCAGGTCACACGAAAGCTTTAACAGATGTTGCATTCAATGCTACCGGCACACAATTTATCTCTGGCTCTTACGACCGTATGATGAAATTATGGGATACGGAAACAGGTCAATGTATAAATCGGTTCACAACTGGTAAAACTCCTCACGTCATTCGCTTCAATCCCGATCCCGAACACAGCAATGAATTCCTTGCCGGTATGGCAGACAAGAAGATTGTACAATTCGATACCCGTACTCGCGAACTCGTACAAGAATATGATCACCATCTTGCAGCTGTCAATACTATTACATTTGTGGATGAAAACCGACGCTTCATCACCACATCTGATGATAAATCATTACGAGCTTGGGATTACAATATTCCAGTCCCTATCAAATTTATTGCCGAACCACACATGTACTCCATGACACGTGCATCGCTACATCCGTCTAAAAAATGGGTAGCATATCAATCGTCTGATAATAATATCTTCGTATATGGAGCTACAGACAAGTTCCGTCAAAATCGAAAGAAAGTTTTCAAGGGACACAATAATGCGGGCTATGCTATCGATGTAGCATGTAGTCCTGATGGACAATTCCTTGCTTCGGGAGATAGCGGTGGATATGTTTGTTTCTGGGATTGGAAGCAGTGTAAGATGTACCATAAGTTCCAGGCGAGTAAAGAGGCTGTTACTTGTGTGGAGTGGAGTCCTCAAGAGAGCTCGAAGGTCGCTACGGCGGGGTTGGATGGCGCGATTAGGTATTGGGATTAGATGGAACTTTTGTGGGAAGGAGAGAAGGCCGGGAGAATGTATGTATGTATGATAGATATATCCAAATCGAGATCCATAGCGAATTGGAAATAATCAACGATGGTGTTCCAATATTGGGAAAGTCCTTACACTTTTGTGTCAAGTGAAATCTCTTCCTAGAATGATGTGTGTTCGCGTGATATCAACTCACGCTAGAAGTATCTGAAGTGTCAGATCCCTTGCTGAAAATCTTCAGAAAAAAACTGCATGCAATGGGTAGGGAACTTCGGCATAAGCCCAATGCAGTGTCGTCTAGTTGCCAGTCATTCGGCGAAAGGTTTGTCCTGCGACATGACGTCTCTGAGAAGGCAGACTGCCTGTTGCAGAAGTTACTATAGAGGCAGCTAACTGCTTGATTCAAACCCAAGTCATATACCCGCTCATCCTGATTCATCATTTATGATATGCTATATGACCCTTGTTTCTTTGTGTATACCTCTGTAATTTCTGGGTCGTTTACATTCGGATTTATCCTCGCATCTAATATTCATATCCACGCCAATAAACATTCTTTTCCAAAATCCAGGCCTCTTTCTACCTTCATCACATCTCTTCTCATAATATCTAACACTACAGTGATTACCACAGCCCATTCTATCCCATCTCATTACGAGTTCGCAATTCCTCACTCACCAGAATGACCACACATCACCCCAACCTCGATTCATTACCCCGCCTCTGTCTTCCATTCTCTTGGATTTTGAAAGTCCTGCGTTACTAGCTGTACATGCCATCGATTTTTGAAGCGTAGGAATCACCACTCCGTTGGGATAGGTTGTGTCGATCTTTTTGGGGAGGTGGTTAGTAGAGACTTTTTTATTATTATTTTTATACATAAGATGAGAGGAAAATACAACGTCCCATTTGGGGGTAGGAGAGAATGGGAGACAAACATAAGTCGAGCTCCACGTACAACACCCCGCACTAATTACGGTTCCATTGACTGGATTTGTACATGCCCATTCATTTGCGGTTTGGGTGGTAGGCATACCAGTCCATGGCACGTTGGACCCGAGTAAGGTTGCGTTTGTACCTAGTTTTCTCGTTAGCTTTCTGAGGGTGGCGAAGAATAGAAAAAAATACTGAGAATGGAGAACGGAGTGATGATGGGGAGTTTGAGGGTGAGAGTTAAAACAGAAGAGCACTGGGTTACATACAAGAACCATAACCGCCGTATTCATCGACAGCACAACAGCCTCCGAAATAATCACTCAAGCATGTTGTAGTAAGTGTAGATCGGATTTGATTGTCGTCTCTTGAGGATGGGGAGTAGTAGAGGGGAGATGCAGATGTAGGGAGAATGAATGTGAAGAGGGTGAGGAGAAAACAGAGGAGATAATGGTGATGCATTTTTGTGCTTGTTTGATATTTTCGAGATAATGAGGGTTTTTGTAACTGGTTTGTGGTGAGTTTTGCGTAAGTATAGATAGATAGTGGTTATTGGCGTCGATGTCAGACACAAAGTTTCAATTGCGATGCAAATTGTAATCTTTAGATCATCACCAATGGCATTCACATCGATTGACATCACAGAAAAATCACCAGAACAAATTTCCAAGAATCAACAAGACGGGAACTATCCTCTTTAAACACTCAACCACACCTATCTCGGCGCATTCATCCGCTTCATCCAACATACATCTCTCACCAGTTCACCCTTTTCCTCATCATCATTATACCAGAATTCACCTCACATATCAGATTATCCCGGCCACATTCCCACAATTCCGAAATCCGGGGTAAACAGGGATTTACGGAAGTGCTTGCCGAAAATATGTGATCGGAATCATGGTGTGTGGAAAAGGATAAATGGATAAATTACTTAGCGAGGTCATGAGGTTTTTGCTGACGGAGAATTTGTGTGTTGGTAGGAGTCTGGGCTTAGATTTGGGGCTTTGAGATTTGGACTGCAGTTTCGGATGGTGTTGGTGGGATTTGCAATGGGGTTGGAAGAGTAAGGGAAGAAGGGGAAATGGGTTGAGTTATTTATTAGGTGTTGTCACTAGCTTTTCTTTCTGTGGTTGGTTGTTGGAGGAGGAGGGGGCGAGAGCTTGTTAGAGTATGGAGATGTTGAGGGACAAAGGAGAGAATTAAGAGATCCGAAATCAAGTAAAGAATCCACAGAAGATGAGGTGCGATGTAACGAATAATATTGTATTTTATTTAGCTAGACGATTAGATATGAATGCTTGGCAATATGAAATGCTCATTATTCGAATCTTGTATGCAGAGTGATTTGGCCTATGGCGGTCTCTGATAGGCATGAGTAAGCTTGTTCCTGTTATAAAACGTGGATATTTCCAGGGTAATAGGGGGATTGTTATTGTTTCATTCCTGGTGACTTCTTGCTGCTTGGTGATGGCCGGACCCGATATGAAATGTCATGAAGTGCTGACTCCTTTTATCTCTTTGGCAGAATAGACTTATGCGATAGTAGATAGTGCTGTGTTGTGCGAACGAAGAGCTGCGGGATTAGTGTATTGAAGTGAGATTCATTAGCTAGTCAGCGTAAGAGCTAAAGGCTTGAGAGATACTATAGATATGATCATTTAACAGATACTGAATATGTACTGGTAAGCGGCTCGCTGCTAGCCTCCGGAATCGCTACCATGAGAGTTGCTTGGATAGTCGCCTAGCGCGCACAACGAGCAACGAAGATGAGGAGCTCAAACCCACCCATCATTTCCACTCCCATGGACATAGACTATAAGGATAGTAAACAACGAAAATTGTGTGAGATATCTTCGAGCGCAGCGAGCTATGAGGGTTTGGGGGCTTGCCCCCATGATAACCAAGAAGAGGCATGAAAGCCGCTGACTTTGCGAGTTTGTTGGCCAAAAACTCTCGGCTTTGCTCTTTTATCTCCGGGATGAACCATATTGTGTCTTTGATGATTCGGTTAAGAATCTTACTGAATTTTGTGAGTCGTAACCTTGTGTTACAGAATATCATGGAATCTCGCTCTAGAACTCAAGATCATATGCTTGAACAATGAATCTAGTGTTTATGCGAGTAAAGAAACTCTAAGAGATGTTTCATACTGACCCACTGATCTCAGCAATCATCGCGCTTTCGGGCAATATAAGGCATATTCTCGGGCCAGATTATGAGCAGTGGAGACAAAACCGGTTCGAGAATCATGGCCAGTCTCCCATTATAACCTATCATTTCATCACCTCCGAAGCTCCATGAAGATTTAATATCACAAATTTTCGGGAAGAACGATTAGGTGCAGCAACAGTTCCCCGCAAGGGTAGCATTGCCAGTACTACAACCTTGAGAGTCACAGATACCATGACCAAGTTAACAATCCTTCACTCGAACGAGAGAGGCAAATGATCCTGAGCCTCGGAGATATTCCCTTTGTACAATGTTCCATTCTCCATTTCGTACTCTCTCAAATCGAAGATACGATATCTGATAGTGATGTTACCATGAATGTGGATTCATCTACTCTTGATGTTGAAAAAAAGTCTCGTATAGGCGCCACGATGGATCTCTTGATAAGATCCTACCTTATTGTCAGCCTTGGCCGCCGAAAACCTAAATATTAGATGATCTATGATCTCTTGAAGAAATCAAATGTGGAGCTCGGCGGAAGGAATGTAGTAGTACCGGTGCATGTATTGCGAAGTTGCTGATGAAAATGTCGTACATTTCTCCTCCGTACGTCCGTCACCTCAAGAACTAGGGTCATCGGTAAAGTGCGGTTGCAGCTTATCACCCAGCTTGCATCTTGTTGATGAGATTGTCGTGTGCTTCTCACTCCGTACTTCCGTCTCGCTGTCCATTGTTGACATCTCATCGTACAGATTGCCAATGAAAAAATTTCCGTGGGGGGAATAAGGTGAAGGATGCACCAAGGGAAAATTTGTCAAGCTGCACTGCTGCAGTGATATTGGAGATAAGATTTCGAAGACCGACAAGGTCATAATCATCGCTACTAATTGCCACTTTCCGAGAGGGTTTGCAACGCAAGGTATGCAGTGAGACTGATTGTTGAAGTTCTTAAGTATCAAATGTGGAACAGAATAATACTCGGCTCAACTTGGCTGACGATACCGTACATACTCTTGTATCCATTTCATATCTTTTTCGATAGTCCTAAGATTTCATGGCAATAATTGTGCAACATATCCACATATGTATTGTTCTGGGCACATTCAAAATGTGAAGGTGGTTGGTGGATGAACTCGTTGCTCGCAAAAAAAGTGAGGCAGTGTTGATGTACATAGCCAAGATACTTGGGAATTCTTGGTGTTACAGGATCATGAAATGATGTTCCATTCAAAATCCCACACTGCCAATACACCGTCGTTCATCATCAAACATGTAAATTGTAAATCATACAAAGTATGGAGAGAATAGGTCACTTGACATGTTTCAGAAGATCTAAATTTGCAAATCTTCACCACCATTCAAACAACCAAGAATCTTCCATCCCTATTCAACAGACTAAAGAAGACTAACTTGGAAACAAAAGCCTTACGCCAAGTTGACAGTCAAACTAATAACTACCGTTTCCCGTCGGTACATAAAGTAATGATCGATGTTTATCAACTTAAAATTGCTTGGTAAATCAATGAATGAACAATAATTGTTTGCCTAGCACAACACCAAGATCTACCAAACTCTTATCGTAGATGCCAAGACCATCATTTCCCTTTAAATAGTTTAATAAGTTTCCAATATGGTTAACTTTCAGGCGGATCGGATCGTTTGTAGGACTCTGTGCGTAGCTTGGCCGGAACACCGCTTGTAACAATTTGGTCTTCAAAGAGTATACTGGAGGAGAGGAGTCGCGGGTACGTACTTCCTCCCCCAAAACATTGCGAAGCGAAGATTACCCCTTCATCCTGGGAAAAAGACTGTGGCGAGGTTCTGTTTTTTTTCCACAACGTATTCGATGTTTCAACACATGCGTATGTCAAAATTTTGTATAGAGAACAACTCCAAGGGTTGCCAAGGAATAATTGAAATGACCTTGGCAGGTACAATACATCAATAAAGAATTTTTTAATTATATTAAAATTCGTTTATTGCGATTGCGGAAATCTCGATAAGGATAAATTTTGGCGTAACATTCAGCAGTCCATTGATTCCGCGCATGCTTCCTTATTACGACTCCGGATTGGCTCCCGGAGTTCCCTTTGAGGTTCTGCGTGGAAGATTCTTTGGATAATATTCATCGCCAAGAAACTTATGCGTAGCGGCATTCTTGATGCATTCTCCATCGACTCCAAGCAGAGCAAGCCTCGAGCAAGCGTAGGAGACCAGCTGGGGGGAAACAATGCATCTCTTGGCAAACTATAATTTTCATGTATGTACCGTTCCATTGCGTTCAGTGCCATCTTGGCTTACTGATGTGGAGGTCGTGAATCCGCAAATGGCGCTCGGTCATGCCCAGAATTTGTCTGACACAGATAGGTGACTTTCCAAGAATTTGGGGGTTCTGTATTGAGAATAATGGATTGAGGTAAGAATGAGGCATGGAGGGGAGGAGGGGAGGTATGTTGATGAAAGTGTATATATTGATCGATGTTTCCCTCCTCATTTCCTCATCATCACTCAACTCAATCACACAATCAAATACCAAACAACCAATCCAATATCAAGCAATCTATACCCCGCTTCCTTCCAACAACACAACCATATCTTACATTTACCCAACCAATCACAACTCACCACCAAAAATCACTATGTCTTCTTCCACAACTCAACAACCACGTCTTGGTAAGCTTCTCATCACATTCCAATCTCACATCTCACATAATTCAACGATATACTAACATTCTCTCTAGACCGTGCCTACTCTACCTCATCCGCTTCCTCCAGCGACTCCAACGATGGCTGGCTCATTCTCAACGGACATGGCTCCTCTACAGTCACTACCCCAACGAATCAACTGATGCATTCAACCCCTACCTTCAGCTCGCTCCAGTCACCCGTGGTGCATCAACTGTCAACCAAAAATTCAGAGCTACAGATAATGCAGAGGATAGACAAAGATTGTTCTTATTGAGAGCAAGAGACAACTAGATTATCTGGGGCTTATCGCGGAGTATGGGATCTGGAGATAATGAGATGGCGTTGTACTAGTGGTTGAACTGGAATTCAATAGAGGCGGAAGTTGATGTTTCTCATATCACAGAATGAAACAGGGATACTGGCGAAAATTGGTTTGGTGGTTTTTGTTGCTGGATTATTAGTCACTTGGGGTTTTGGTCGGGGCCGGTCTTGTTTGAAGCGTAGGAGTATCATTATTCTTTTGACCTATGGGAATCGAAATTATATGCACTTATGATGGATAAATCAAAATAGAAAAAATTCAAAAATCATAACATTAAAAACTATCCCCGCGTGATCATAGTGTGCTCGAGCGAATAAGTTGATGTACTGCAGCCTACATGATGATCTCAGAACTTTAAGCACCTTGATGAATCTGCTCCCTAAAATCACGTACACGAATAATTAGTTTATCCCACTTACAAAGCACAAGCTGCATGAAACCTACTTCTACCCCGCCTTTCCTGGTGGGTTGAGGCTGTCGCTACGTGTAGTGACGGGAAGATGTATACCAATCCTAGATGCTGTAGATCTAACTGACTCTCGCAAACACAATCTACATGAATATCTTTCACCGCTTGATCACTCGAATTGCTTCGTTCGTACTCTTCTCCAATCAAAAATGCAATGTATCACGTGATTTTATGTTCTAACCCACAAGCTGAGGAGTTAGAGCGGCTGAAACTCTATGGTCAGAAGCAGAAATAACTACGAGCCTTGATTTTAACTTTTCTTTCCCTGAAGATCTCAATTCCCTCGCTTACAAAATACATGAAAACTTGTTATACATTGAATAGTCTTCTCATGCCTCTCTCCTCTCCCTCCAACCCAAGCTAAAAGTATGCAATTCTAAATTAGGTAAAGTAAATTCTATGCATTGATAAACTTAATGGACAGTATACAATATAAATCCCATCCCTATTTGTTAGGTAAGTAAAGGGAAGTGATCAGCTGGTTGATTAATAAGAACAAATAATACATAGGTATCTAGATAGATATTAGCATCAACCAATATTCATAACTTCAAAATCTATATTTATCTATCCATCTCTAGATGTTTTATCTTTTATATCTAGATATGTCTATGCTCATATATGCACTGCCTGAAAAGAAATCGTTAATGCCCAAAAACCGAAACCTCTTCCCTTCATACCCCCCTTTTCTCTCCTCTTCCCCAGAAACAGAAGAGATATACTCGAATCGAGCTCGTACCGCAAGATAATTTATAGAACCTCTAAGGCTTTTTGGAACGATGCAATAGGGTCAGTCAAAAGCCACAAGCACTGAAATCCACTCCAGAAGATTATAAGGTCTACATCCAAGAACTCAACAATTCCGATCCTATAGCTCCGAAAGACATTGATACTACTAAAGACAATATCAATGGTATACAGTGGAAGTGGATAAGATATACTATTAGACAGCCTATATTGAGTTTAAGCAAAGAGTTCATAGAAATTAGATTCTGTGACTTCCGTGGTATACAGGACTGATATGTAACAACCCATACCTGATTCATCAGCGAAACTGGTAAGATTCATGTACTTAATTTCACCCACTAGTATCTTCGCTAATTCAAGCAAATTTATAATCGAGCCAATGGTTATCATATGGACAAAAACAAAGCAAAAGAGGCTCTTATATATATTGGCATAGCGATTTGAAATATTGAGACCAAACACTAATAATATCTGAATAGTATCTACATACCACTTTGACTGATTGATTCAATCTCGAGCGAATCATAGAAGCGAAACCAGTTCTCGGCACCAACGATATTCTTTTTCTACTCATACATCATTGGGCACGGGATACATCTACATTCCCAATTGAAAATCAGCACTTGGCACTTGTAACGATTATACTCATCTCTATCTACACTGACTATAGGTCTGCTTAGCTAATTGATATATCAAAAGGTAAGGTTGTTTTATACGGAAAGCTATCTAAAAACAATTCTACTTGCCTAAGTAACAATGAGGACTTGGATAATAAGGATTTAAAGGATTCTGAAGATAAAATAAACTTTATCGAAAATGAAAAACTAAATAACCCTAATTACAATCAATAGAATCCTTAATCAAATTTAAACAATATTAACTACAAGGATGATATTAAGGATAATAAAATTGGAAACAAAAAGATTCAAATCATTTTATTATAAGGATATTCGATTATAAATTATCTATAATCCTATCTGTAACACTTTGCCTTAGAAGAACTACAAAAGCAGGGTACAATTTATCCTTAAAATCTATAATTATAGAATCAAGAATAAAGTGTTTATAGAGTGTTTTTATATATTAACTATATATACATAATTATGTATGTATATGTATGTATATATAAGTAATTACATTATAATTGAATACGATTTGTAATATTATTTTTCTTTTTAAAAAAGCTTGCCCTCAAGCTTTATAATTATTTATTTAGTATTTAAATTAGTGATTATAATATAATATCGATTATTATTTAATTGAATAATATAATAAATAAATATATATATAAGTTTTTCTTTTTCGTAATAAAAAGACATATAGAAAATAAAAGAAACCATCCTATAATCTAATAATAACTTGAATCTTTTGAGATATATAAATCTTTTAAATTTATTCTTTTTTTGAAACCCTTTTTTAATCATTTACTTTCTTTTATTTTTTATTATTATTATACCTTCAATATTATTAACAAAATATAATAGTAAGAGTAAATTATTATTAGTACAATTGAAACAGCTGAAAATAGTACATACAATAATAAATTATTTATTTTGTCTTTTATATTTGATATGTTAATATATTTTCCTAATAATTTGTGGTAAAAAAAGAATCTATTCTTTTTATTGTATGAGGCGAATGTGTTTTTATAGAGAAGTTAAATAATAATAAAGATGGGAGGGACTTTAATAAGGGTGAGGGTAGTGATATTTGATATGCTTAGTAGATATATTTGTTTTATTGTTTATTAAGATAAAACTTAAAGAAGGAATATAATTTATTTATTAATTATATTAAAAATTATAAAACAAAGTTTACTAACAAATTGGTTATAGTGGTATATCATTTTTATGAACTTGGGGTTAATGGGGATATTATAATAAAAAAGAAAATCTTAAAGGCTTTATATTAAAATCAATCTAATTATAAATTTAATATAGTTTATTATAAAAACATTAGTTTTATTGATATTAATAAATTAAGATCTTCGAGTAAGAGATTATTAAAAAAGATAGTATTACAATAAAAATAATATGTTTGGAAAAACAATTAAATCTATATTAATTATATTTGCAATTATATTTTTGGTAAGAAGAATAATATCTACTATTAACTTCCTAATTAATCATCTAATTAACCTTACTATTTACTTTATTTAATTAGTAAATATAAATATAAATATTTGTTTAAAAAGAATACTTATAAAATGTTTTTTTAATATTAATTGACTATAACCCTATATAATAATATAGTAAAAGTAAATACTAGCTATTTTGAGATTAATAATAATACTAACTTTTATTTAACTCGATTTATAAAAAAAGCTGAAAAATTGTATTTCAAAAGAAATACTTTTTTTCATTCTTACTTGAAAAGATATAAAGTGTTATATAATTGAAACTATAAAATAAAAAAATAAATTGAAATAATAATATTAACTCACTATAACTTAAATAGAAACAGAACTTTTAGTAGTTTATAAGTAATTAAATAAAATTAAGTATAAGCTTGATTTTGTTATCATATATATTATAACTAAGAGTTGTTTTATCTTTAAACTTATAATTATTATATATATTCTTATTGTTATTATTAATTAAGAATTCAATTAATATTTCAATTTAAATTATTTAGTTTTTGTTATTGTATTTCATTTAATTATAACTATTAGTATTTATAGAGGCTTTTTTTTTGGTTTAATCTAAATCTCTCAGATAAAGGAAAAGACTTTCTTTATTATATTAACTTAGTAATTCAATTTTTATTCAATCTTTATTATTAGTTTTTTATTAAATTAGGATTTTCTTTATTATAATAATAAACTAAAGAAGTTCTTTCAATCTTTTTTATTTATATATTAATTATTATTTATAAAATTATAATTATTCTTTCTATTCTTATAAAAACGAATTCATTTTAATAAGTGTATAAAGAATCCTAGCAAAATAGAATTTTGTAAATAGAAGTTATAAAAATAATATAGAGTAGTTTTTAAATCAAAGATGAAATACTAGATAAAATTATTATTAATATTTAACCACAATATCCTATATTTGAATTATCTATATACTTTCTTAATAATAAGAATATATTCTATTTCTTATTTAGTATTATTAATAATATTTATTAAAAATAATAATTCAAGGATTTATTTAGGAAATGAATTATTAATTATTTTATAAAATTTGCTAGATAGAAATATTAAATAAACTTTTATAATTAATAATAAATCTAATTTAAAAGAATCTCTAGTATATTTAATAATTTTGAATTTTTTCTAAATAGAATAATTTAGTTTCTTAGAAGATTATTATATTGGAAAGTTTTTTATATTAAATTATATTTAATTTCTAATATCGAAATCTATTAATTAATGATATAAATTAATTAAACAAAATATTTTTTTTTATATATATAAGATATTTTTTTTTATTTAATTGAAAACTAGTTTATTATATTTAATATATTTTTTAGTATTAATTATATTTAGATTATTAATTAATAAAATTAAATTAGATTTCTAATTTTAAAAATTATAAAATAAATAGTTATATAAAGTTTTGTATAAAGATTAATTATTTAAAGATTTATATAAAAATATAAGTTAAATGTAATTTATTATTAATAAGAATTTGGATTAGTTATTTTAATAATAATTTATAAAAGATTATAAATATTATTAAAAATATTAATTATAAATCTCAATTTGATTATTAATTTGTAGGTAATAAATAATTGAGTATTTAATTTATATTCTTAAAATATTATTAAATTCTTTTTAGAAAGTTAATATAAATTGAGGATTACAATTAGAGATTATAAATTCTAAAAGCCTATAATACCTATAAATATAATATAAGTATAAGTAAGTTTAATCTTTTGAATTAATTGATTTATAATATAATATAGAAATTGTTTGTTTAGTAAATTAATTAATTATAATAAATACATTATTATAATTATATTTATTTTTATTGAAATTATAATAATCTATAATAATATATTATTAAGCTTAGATTAAAATAAATAATAAATATAAAAAATTAGGAATATAATCTTTTAAAACAAAGTTATATTTATATTAATAATAATTCTATATATATTATTTTATAATTTGAATTATTTTATTTTAATAATATTATTTTATTAAGAAAATGAGTATTTTTTTTATATTAGAATATATGGTTAAAATTAAATCATAAATTTTATAAATTAAATAGATTTATAAATTATTAATATTTAATATATAAAGTCGATTATTATAAAACAAGAATTCTTTTTTGAGTATAAAATATCTATATATTTTGATAATTTATATATATAAAGTTTTTAAATTCAAATAAAATCTATTTATTTTAATAATTTGATTTATAATATTGAAAAATAGGGTAATTATATATATATTAATATTTATAATTATATTCAGATTTCGTTATAAAGATTTATATATAATTTTGATATTCATTTAATTATTTTTAATAAATTATTATAAATAATTCTTCTTTTTAATATTATTTTATTAATTTAATTTATTAATGTAATATATAAATATATTTATAAGAGGATTATTCTTTTTAGTATAATATATAATAATGAAATTATAATTAACAAATAATTCTATTTAATATACTTAACAAATATTTAGTTGTTTGATTAATATAAAGTATTCAAAAGTTTTATAATTAATATATACTTTGATTTGATATAGGGATTTAATAAATTTAGCTTTTTAATAGTTTAGGGATTTAATAATTATAAGTATTTCTTTATTATGAACTTTATAGTTTAGTTTAATAACAATTATTATTTTCAAAAAGTAGATAATTAATAATTATTTATTATTATATTTCTGAGATAGTATATTAATAATTATATTATTAGATATATTGATTTCTAGTATATAGAATAATATATAATTATAATATTATAAAAGAAGAGTAAAGATAAATTTATTTTTAAATATATCAAATATAATTTAATAAATTTTATTAAAATGAAATTTGATATTTGTTTTTATAAATTTATAAAGAAATTTTGTTATTATATTATAATTTTTAATAAATTAATAATAAAAGTTATAAAAATCTAGAAATAATTAAATATTTTTTATAATAATAAAATAAATCTAAATAATAATTATTTTGATTTTCTTTGAATTGATTTATATTTTTTTAGTAAAGATAATAAAATCTAAATACTTAATATATTTAATATTAAATTTGTATTTTTTAAAATCTATTTATAAACTAATAAATTTAAATTATTCAAAAATATATTTAATATATTTTTTATATTTGTTTTCGTTTTTAGAATAAATTAGTATATTATTAAGGTAGATAATATAAAAATTATTTAAATAATTAAATAGAATATTATTTATATATTATTAATAAGTTATAAAACTATTTATTAATTCAAAAAATAAAACTTTATATTTATAGAAACTATATTAAATACAAAAAGTAGTATATTCTTTGAAAACAGAATTTATATAAATATAATAGAATATTTATTGAATATCTAATTTAGTATATATTTTTATATTAACAAATTATATAAATATTTTATTAATAAGAAATAAGAAATATCTATTTTTATATATTAAAAAATTAAGTAATTAAAAGTTTATATAAAATCTTAAGCTTTTATTTAGTTTTTTTATAAAAAAAATCGATATTATAAATAGAGTTTAATTAGGTTTTATAAATCCTTTTATAAAGTTTTCAATAATATATTCTTTAATAATTTCAAATTATTCAAAGAATATTTTATATAAAAAACTATATTTAAAGGCTTTCTTATTTTTTTCTTTTAATATAATTTTATAATTATATAATTAAAAAAAAAGTAG